GTACATTCGTTCGTACTGCTTAGTATTAAAAAGCACAATGCTTATGTGGGTTTTTATCATTTGCTATTACATCTCAGTTTTTCTTTTATCATCTCACTTTCTAAACTGAACCATATTCTACCTAATACATAGCAAATCAGTAAACCAACTGCAGCATTTGCCCTGACGGGATTTCAGGCTCAGGGTGAGGTGCTGGGAAAATTCTGGCTCAATTGTTACTGACATAGGAGGCTTTACAGTTATTTATTAGAAGACAGCCTGGGAGGAAAAGAGAAAATGGATTTATGTGATCCCGTACTGCTAAATATGGCACACTGCTGTTATCTTTTCTTTACTGCTTCCTCTAAGAGTCATCATTTCAATGCCCTAATCTTTTAAACAGCCATTCAGTGGGAACTGGGCTAGAACTTTGCTAAGGGGTCACATTCACCAGCCTGACAGTAGTACATTTACAAAAGAGATGGCATGAATTTATTCAGCATCAAAACCTCTGCCTCCTTTACCACCCGACTACATTTCACACTGTATTACCATCAGTGCGCTGTAATGGCTATATAAATTCCATCCAGATTCTTCATTTAATTAACTAGCGTTCTTTGAACAAAAATAAAAGTGCTGTTTTTATAGAGGAATAAAAGCTGCATGAAGTGAGTGTGAAGGAGACAAATCATCAAATTAGTTATTCTTCATTGCAGCTATGGAGAATTTTTCTGCCCCTCCTCTTTCTCTTCAGAGGCAATATATTTTTTGCAGCTTGATTGAATGGAAAACGGGTAGCTACGGAACAGCCTCCAATATGTTTGAGTCGGTTGCAAGGGCCGCATCCTAAGCTCACGCAGAGCTGGGCACTAATGAGATTGCCATCTACAAGTGATTTTTGTTTTAACATTCTCTATACTTGGTGAGGTAATAAGGGGCCATAGCCAGGAGCGTGACCTTTGCAACTAGACTGCCTGGCTTCAAATCCTGGCTCTGCCACCTACTGGGTTTGTGATTCTGAGTAAGTCACTTAACCTTGGTGTGCATCAGCGTCCCTATCTACAAAATGAGGATAATAACAGAAGAAGAATAGACATACTCCACCTAGTAGCGTGCAGATTAACCCAGTCAGTGCGTGTAAAGCATCCAGACGGTGCTGGCACATAGTCAGCCTTTCCCAGCCCTTTGTCTCCATTACTCCCCTCCAGGAAGCCTCTTCCCCCGGTCAGAATCGGTCTAGCTGCACTTCTCAGCTGTGCCACATTCCTTCTTGGGTCTCTCCCTTTGTTCACATTGTTCTTTTTGTCTGACATATTCTCCTGTCTTGCTCCATTTATCTAAGTCAGACCACCTGGCATTCTGAGCGGAGCCAGAAAAAGGGCAGGTCTCTTTGACCCTTTTGTATTTTTTGTCACACAATATGGTTGTCCAGCTGCAGTAGCTGCTAAATAAATGCTGTGGGCCAGCCATCCCGTTGGCTCTGCATTCAGACCGTGTTTGGAGCCTCACCACTTCACACGAGCTCCACCACTGTCACCCTGGTTCAAGCCACGAATGACTTCTGCCTGTTTCCTTTCTCTCGTCCCTGCTTCCACCCTTGCCCACCCCACCTAGTCTACTCTCAGCAGAGCCGTGAAAGTGATCCTTTAAAAATTTATGTCAGGCCACATCCATTCTCTGCTCAAAACCTCTGCCCACTTTCCATCTCACCCCGAATAAAACCAGTGTCCTCACAACGGCCTACAAATTCCCTTAAGGTCTGCCCCTGCACTCTGTGCCATCCCCGTGGCTAACTTATTCCTGTTATACTCTGCCCTCACAGCCCACTCTTCTATTCCTGTCCTCTGCTGTCGCCACCTCTGCCACGCTGGCCCCCTTTGCAGGTCTCTGGAGATTCAGGGCAGGGTCTCTGCACCAACAGATCCCTCTGTCCAGAAAGCTCTTCCTTGGGAAATCATGGCTCCGTTCCTCCTGCAGGTCTCTAATCAGCTAGAGTGCAGAGTGCGACCTGCACGGATAACCCCTACTTTACTATCTCCCCAAACTAGAATGTAAGTTCTGAGGGGCAGGAGAGAGGGACTTTTGTCTACATTATCCAGTGGCTATCCCCAGCACTTGAAACAGAACCTGACACATAAGAAGTACTTAATAAATCGTGACTGAATGTATGAATGAAAAACTGACCCTTAAGAATATGTCCAGATTCCTAACCCTCCCAGCACTTCAGATGTACTTAGGCTCAAACAAAAGCCAAGTGTCCCATAACAGCTCCAAGAAAATTAAAATAGCCATAGTTTAATATTAGCCATGGCAATTGGAGCAGAAAGTTCCACTGCACAGAAGAGAGATTTCTGCATCAAGTAAAGAAAAAGAAATGGCTTTCAGTATGATAACTGCCATGTTAAATTATACTGGTATTCTGTCTTTGACCTACCACCATGATACATTTTCCCCCCAAGGTATATTTTGAGAGAAAAAGTTATTTCGGCTAATCTGTTCCTGCGATGGAGAATGTGGTGTGTGAGGTTTTCTTGTTTTATTCTGTTTTGTCATTTAGAAGCAAAGTAAGAGGGTACAGAGAGAGCTTTAATGTTACAGTCAGGCAGACCTGGGTTCAAATGCTGGCACTACTGTGTATCCTGGAACAGGTTATGTAACTTCTCTGAATAGCTAACCTGGGTGCCAAAAATGAGTATACACATTTTGAGCAATGTTACCTATGTATTGCTTTTCATTTGCCATAATCAGAAGTGTCTGGATGACAAACCACTTTGAGCAGCTCTTGTAATTGCAGAAGTCAAAGGTAACCTGTATTTGTCTTTTGTTACTGGTATATTGTAGGAGACTGAGTACCATCCTCATAGGAGTGATCACTGATACTTGAGGGAGGTGCTGCAGTGGGACAGTCTCCTGGCCGGCATGGAGATGTTTTGCAGCCCAGAGACAAGCCCTCAAGCAACTGAATGAGTGAAGATCGGTCTCTCATTAGGAAGCATGTGTTGGACCTTGAACATTTGTGGAGGGTGGGAGTCAAGCCCCCATGCACCAAGCAATCATTAAGCATGTAGCCCCCATGCACCAAGCAATCATTAAGTATGTAGCCCTTGTACATCATCACTGGGCACTCCCCAGACCTGTTGTGTAGCAGTTCAATAAATGGCCGAGGCAGAGGTTACTTGGGGCTTTCCTGCACCTCTGGGGAGTCCACCTCTTGCAAGCTTGTACTTTCAATCTGCGGATGCGGCTGGGACCAGAGCCACACCAACAGTATATATTGAGTATTACAATTTTAGTACAGCTTTTCCTTTCCTAAAATGTGTTGTGTACATTTTTTGGCACCCTCTTATTTTCTTATTATGAAATGGTTATTGATAATGCCTTTCTCTCAAAGTTGTTCTAAAGATTAAATGACAAAAGATTCATGAAGCGCCTGAGACATTAAATATGTTTAATAAATGTCTTGTGTGGGACTGCAAACTAATACGACCTTCTTGGAAGGAAGTTTGGAGAATCCTCAAAGAACTCAAATTAGACCTCCCATTTGATCCAATAGTCACATTGCTAGGCATCTATCAAAAGGAAAAAAGTTATCTTCTCATTAGGACATTTGCAGAATCTTAAAAGAACTCAAATTAGACCTCTCATTTGATCCCATAGTCGCATCACTAGGCATCTATCAAAAGGAAAAAGGTCATCTTCTCATTAGGACATTTGCACTGGACTGTTTATTGCAGCTCAATTTACGATCACCAAAATGTGGAAACAGCCTAAATGCCCACCAACCCAGCAATGGATTAACAAGCTGTGGTATATGTATACCATGGGATACTATTCAGCCACTAAAAAAGATGAAGACTTTACATCTTTCATGTTAAGCTGGATGGAATTGGAACACATTCTTCTTAGTAAAGCATCACAAAAATGGAGAAACAAGAATCCAGTGTACTCAATTCTAATATAAAGCCAGTAGACAATCTGGCTTAAGAAATACTTAAATCAATTCAAGATGGGGGACGGGGGTGGGGGGAAGGAGGGAGCAAGGAGAGGGGAGGAGGGCGGGGGATGGGTGTGCTCCCACTTAATGGGCACAATGTTAGGGTATGTATGGCACACCTCTTGGGGGCGGGACACAATTCTAAGAGGTACTCTACCCAACAAATGTAAACATTGTAACCTAATTCTTTGTAACCTTAATTAACCTGAAACAATAAAAATAACTGTCTTGTGTAGCATTGCATTGCATCCTACACATAGTGCTATGTATTTTGCTACTATTTTCCAACCAAAAGTAGCAGTTAAATCCATGTTGAAGAGAAAATGTTGGCCCCTGATATGGTGAAGAAGCCCCACAACATTATAAATCTATCAACCGCATCTGATAAAACTCCAAGAGACTTTTTTTTAAAGAGACAGAGGTCTCACTTTATCGCCCTTGGTAGAATGCCATGGCATCACACAGCTCACAGCAACCTCCAACTCCTGGGCTTAGGCAATTCTCTTGCCTCAGTCTCCCGAGTAGCTGTGGCTATTTTTTTGTTGCAATATAGCCGGGGCCGGGTTCGAACCCGCCACCCTCAGTATATGGGCTGGCATCTTACCCCCTGAACCACACGTGCTGCCCCAAGAGCCTTTTTAGAACACAATCTCTACCACCCACTTGAGTTCTGTTGTAACCTACCCTTGTTATATTTTGAGCAAATTGTTATTCTTCTATTTTCCATTTTCACCGCTTTACTTCCTTTATTTTCAAAACCTTATACTAGCTGTGTGAAGTTAAGAAAATTTCAGTATGCTGAAAATTACCTAAGAGATCCACAAAGGAAAGGTAAGATCAAGCAGTTTCTTCACATAGCAAAATAACATGAATATTAATTGTTTAAATTGAGAAGGGAAAAACATACATATATTGGTTTTTTTTTTAAATTACAATTTCCAAATGAAAATATTTTATGTAAACCACTGGACTATTTTTTACATGTTTTTTTTTTCTTTTAAATGACATTTCATTTTTAAATCTCTAGGAAGCCAAAGCTATAGTTGAAGAGTCGAGCGCCCTGCGAAGTCGGCTTCATCTTGCTGAAGCCGTGCAGAAGCAGGTGCACGGGATGGAAATGGACTATGAAGAAGTGATCCGTCTGTTAGAGGCCGAGATCGCAGAGCTAAAGGCTCAGCTTGCTGATTATGCTGACCAAAATAAAGTAAGCAAAACAGTCTTCTCTTCCAGTTACCATGGTTTCCTCGCCGTTGTCATGTATCCTGTTTTCATTTTCTTTTCATCTGCACTTCTAAACTAGGTCAGTGTTTGTCTCCTATTATTCAATGATAGGATGATGTGTCCTGATGTGAGTGGAGTGAAGGTCTTGAGCCTCCCTTTATCCAGATAGCTTTGGGATGGAAAAAGCATGTGCCCCAAATTTATATAGGTCATTGGTCAACCTTGTTCAGTGCAAGCATTAAGTCCTGGAACTATTTCACATTTAATTGTTTACATTTTTTTTTCTTTTTCTTTCTAAACTTGCTAATTTGTTTGTGGAGCTGGAAGGAGGAGGAGTCTAGGGCATGGGTTTTACTCTTTCATTAGGATACTTAAGGAACTGTGAAAGCTAAAGGATTTTTGCCTAAGGCCCAGGATAATTAATGGAAAGAAAGTTCACATTGCTTTTTATTTTAAATGTAAGATGTAATAAATTAGTCTCAAATAGAAGATCTTCCAGTTTCAGGAGCAAGTTACTGAATGCTTCCCACAAGGCAATGTGAACTTTTACGTGAAATTTTTTTATATAATTCATATTATATTCATTGAATAGGCTTCAGAAACTATAACAGGCATATATATTTCTACTTCACTGACATAAGGAAGAAAATTGAATAAATTGAAATAGGAATTTTATAACTTAAGAAGAGTTGTTCACTTATAATAGGTTTGTCTCTAAGCCAATCACTTTTCAAGAGAGCATAAAGCAAATTTGAATAACTTTTGAGTAAACATGAAAGAGTTAAATAATTCAGATATACCAAGTGAAAATGAAACTAGTTTTAGAAATGCAAAACAGAGAAGAAAATCTGGAATTTTGTTTGCTTAGCTCTGAAGAGTCACCAACATATCGGGGACATTCATTCCCTTACACCAATTCCATAAGAAAGTTCAAGTTTCCATCACCCTTTGATAATGCCACAAGGCCAAGGGGAAATACATCCCTTGACAAGGCGGCACTACTTGGGAGTATTTCATTTCTTTTTCTTCACTTTTGACCAGTATTTACATTCTGAAAACAGAGAGATGTGATTATTTTTTATAAATGTGATTATCTTACATGACTTTGACCTGATTCTGAAAATACTCTGGGAATTATCGAGATATTAAAAGTATTTTCTGTAATAATTATAGTTACTTTTGAAGGGAAAATCAACCATTTAAATAATGTAACTTTAAAGAAGTTCACATGAAATTATTCAATGTTTTTTTTTTTTAAAGCTTGGGTTATTTGCAGTCTCTCTTCTAACTCCCAGCTGAGAAACATTTTTGTCCTAAGTTGCCTGGTAATATAATTAATTCAGTTTTTCCTCTCTTTTAGCAGAATGGGGGTCTCATGCCATTTCTTTTAACAAGACCCTAAACTAAGCCAGTAACCTATCTCTGAAAGCAATCTTTTTAAAGAAGTGTTAAACATGGGCATTTCAACATTCAACATTTTCCAAACTCAACACCAGTGGAAAAAGAGAAGGAAACTTTTTTTTTTTTTTTTTAGTTGCATGAAATTGCTTAAAGAGACATTGATCAAGGTGTTACAGAATTAGGATTCAAATATTAATTTTTGAGACATAGATTCTTTTCCTAACAATGCTTTCATTGTACATTACAATTTTTTCCTTCTATTATCTATTTATTTACTTATTTACATCTGGGGGATTTATAATTCACCTCTAGCTTAAGAAATAAAACATTCCTAACACCTTGGAAGACACACGTGCATCCCACTCCCTTAGCCTCAGAGGTGACCATTCTCCTGGATTTAGCGTTAAGCATTTTCTTGTTGATTTTACCACGTGTGTGTGTTGTGTAGTTGTGCCTGTTTATCAACCTTATGTGAAGAGAAATACATGCATTATTCTGATGTGCTTTTTCTCACACGTTTTGTTTTTGCATTCATCCACGGACAGTGTACGCTGGTTCCTGTCTTTCATTGCTTCCTGTTCTCTGTTGCCTGGATATACCGCAGAGTCGTCACTCATTCTGCATTTGATGGACAGGCTGATTGTTTCTCTTCTCTTCTGTTATGAATGATGTTCCCAAAAATACTTTCTGGCAGTATATTTTGGTCCACACGTGTAACAGTTACTGCTAGGAGTAGAACTGCTAGGTTGAATGATAATTGTGTGTTTGACTTTACCAGGTAACGCTCACTTGTGTTTAAAAGTGTTTGAATTTGTACTCCCACCAGTCATAAATGAGAACTATTGTTTACCCTACATTCTTGCTGACCTTTCATCTTATTTTACTTTTAATATCTATCAATCTGGTTGGGGTAGTATTGTGTTATTGTTTTTTAATTTAAATTTCTCTGATTACTAATGATTTTGAGACAGTGAAGTACTAGGACCAGTTGAGACTAGCTCCTAAGAGCTGACTGCATACACCTCTTTTCAGATCCATGTTCAGCGACATCGTGTTGGTAGCTTGAAATCAGCCATAGTAGTAATATTTATATCCGCAAATGCCATAAACCAAGGCTCCTCCACCCATAACCAGCTGAGCATGTGTTTATGTATTTATTAGGCATTTATTTCCCTGTGAAGTGTCTCTTCCTATCTTTGACCATTTTTCCATTGGATTATTTTTCTTTTTCACAAAGATGTGTAGTCATTCTTCTGGTTTCTAACCTTTTATTCAGTGATACTTCATAAAAGTCTTCTTCCCGTTTGTGGCTTGCCTTTTCACTATATGGCGAAATGGACAGAAGTTCTTAATTTTCATGTGGTCAAACTCATGTGTCTTCTTAGCAGTCTTTTCATTTCCAAGGATATAAAGATATTCCTTTGTATTTACCTCTAACACTTTTAAGTTTTGATCCTATTGTAATTCATTTTGTGGCACCGTATGAGATGGGGATCCATTTCATTCTTTGTTCTAAATGAATAAACATCTATCTCATCACCATTTACTAAAAAGCCCCTTCTTTCCTAACTGATCTATGAAACCAGCTCTGTCATATATCAAGGTTCCATGTGCGTGTGAGTCTGTTTGAAGTTCTCTGTTCTTTTGCATTTGGTTTATGTATATTCCTTTGCAGAAACCACACTGCGTTGCTTACCATATCTTTTAAAGTAATTCTTGATATCTGATCATCCTGCCTAGTTCTGTCTTCTGAAAATGAGTTGGTTACAGGACTTTTGATCTTTTATTATCTATTTTACACTCAGCCTTTCCATTCTACCAAAAGAAAAAAATGTATTGAAACTTTTACTGAAAATTTATTAAATATATAGATTAATTAGGAGGTTGAAGCAGCTGGATTGCTCAAGATCAGCCTGAGCAAGAGTAAGACCCCCATCTCTACTAAAAAAAAGAGAAATTAGACGGGTGTTGTAGTGGGCTCTTTTCTTTGCTAATTCACTTGGAATCATTTCTTTCTTTTCTTTTCTTTTCTTTTTCTTTCTTTTTTTTTTTTTTTTTTTTTTTTTTGAGACAGAATCTCACTTTGTCTCCCTCAGTAGAGTGGTGGGGTGCTATGGTGTCACAGCTCACAGCAACCTGAAACTCTTGGGCTTAAGCAATTCTCTTGCCTCAGCTTCCCAAGTAGCTGGGACCATAGGCCCCTGCCTTAACGCTCAGCTGGTTTTCAAGAAGAGGTCTCACTCTGACCCAGACTGGTCTCGAACCTATAAGCTAGGCAATCTACCTGCCTCGGCCTCCCAGAGTGCTAGGATTACAGGTGTGAGCTACCACACCTGGCTGCGGGATCATTTCTTATTTTGTGCATTTTATTTGCCCCATATGTTCTAGCTGTTTTTAATTTCTCGCCTTTTCTAATCTTTTAGATTTCCCTGTATACCCCTGTCCATTACATTTATTTCCTTCTGCTAGTTTAGAAGTTATACAATGTCTAAACTTTAATGATTATCCTAGAAATTGTAACATTTTGTAATAAATTGTAAAAGTAATTAGCAACTTGTCCCTTCTAAATATTCTAAGCACTATAGAACATACATCTAATCATCTTTCCATACTTAATTTTGATTTTTGTCAGTGTTTTAGTTCTTTCTTGACTTTTTGAACACCATCAAAGACACTATTGCAATGTGTTGTGTGTGGTCAGCGTTTGTTTAGATAGACCCCATGTTTGTCATTTACTGTGTCAAGGATTCTTTTATACTTCAGACCTCCTTGCCAGAATCATTTACTTCAGAGTACATCTTTTAGAGATTAATTTAGTGAGGATCTGTTGATAATAAACTCCATTTTATTTGTCTGAGAAACATCTTTACTCAGCTCCAGTTCTCGAAATATATTGTGCTACGTTTACAATGTTTAGTTGGCATTTAATTTCTTTCACTGTTTTTATTTCATGGTTGTGATGTTGGCTGTCAGTCTGACATTTGTTTATAATCTTTTTTCTTCTATATGATTTTAAGATTTCCCTGGCTTTGATGTTCAGCCATTCGACTATGATGAATCATGTGTTGCACTATTTTAATTTATATTTTTTCATATTCATTGAGCTCCCTGATAGGAGGTGCAACGTCTTTTGCCATTTCTGGAGTATCCCAAGCTGTGATCTGTAGCCATTTCTCTTTCATTCCATTTGCTCTCATGTAATTCAGATTAGGTGTGTGCTAAGAGCGTCTTCCGGCTCTTTTCTCCTTAACTCTTCTCCTTCATACATATTTCAATTTTTTTTTTCTCTTTCATTATGAGACATTTCTTTACCCCTGTCTTCTAGTTCACCCATTCTCTTTTCAACTGTATCTAATTTATGTTCAATCTGTGAATCAACTTCCTGATTTAGTTGTCTTCCCTTTTATTTTTGAGATTAATTCTTTTATATTATCTGAATCTGTTTTGATAGTTTCTTATCCCTTTGTTATACCTTCAATTCCTTAGTAGTTTATATTCTAGTTTATATTCTGTATCTGATCACTCCAATATCTGTTGTCTTTACAGGTCTGATCCTCTCATTTCTTTCCTCTACCTGACTTTTACCCATGGAGCGTATTTCCTCATTGTGAGGTCATATTCTTTTGACATGATATATGAGAACTCTGAGATCTGAGTTTAAAAATATCTCTCCAAAGATGTTTTGTGTTTACTTCTACTAGCCTGTAACCAATTTAAATTAAATTTGGGGCGGTGCCTGTGGCTCAGGGAATAGTGCGCCAGCCCCGTATACCAGAGATGGCAGGTTCAATCCCAGCCCTGGCCAAAGACTGCAAAATAAATTAATTAATTAATTAATTAATATAAAATAAATTTGCAGCTTATGAATTTTCAGGCCACATGGGTAACAAAAATTCTAGCCCTACACTTGCATGAGTGGGGTCTTGTGGTTCGGCTTTTTTCAGTAGACCCTATTTTTTGATCACTAGACCCAAAATGAAAACAGTTTACCTCCATGAAGGTTTTGTTGTAATCTAGTTCATCCATTAAAATTCTTTTGTTTGCCATTCGTGCCTGATGAAATCCCAAAGTACAAGCCAACAGGGATCAGCGTATATCCTCTGAACAGATGATGCTTCAGGCCTCTCTGATCACAGCAGGTTCACCGAGCTTTACTGTGGCTTCTCTCCATGGAATTCCTTTACTTCCCTGCCAGCTTCATTTCACCTTGGGTTATATTTCATTAAATATGTTTGCGCACACGTGCATGTGTATGTATTTTTAGCCCTTTTAGTTGTGCTATACTGGTAGGCATTTCTGTCAATATCTGGTAAGGCATATTGCAAAAAAAAATTATAAACTAATTTAAATTTATTTACTCTATGAGTCAATACAGTTCTATGCAGCTTGTCTCATAAAACTTGCAACATCTTTTTAAATATACAGTTACTTACATGCTTCCCCAAAGCAAAAGATGTGTCCAGTAAGAGAGAACATAAATGATGTGATTATACTGAATATTAGTTTATAAAAATGGGGCTCGGCGCCTATAGCTCAACCGGCTAAGGCGCCAGCCACGTACACCTAAGGTGGCAGGTTCAAATCCCCAGCCCGGACCCGCCAAACAACAATGATGGCTGCAACCAAAAAATAGCCGGGCGTTGTGGCAGGCGCCTGTGGTCCCAGCTACTTGGGAGGCGGAGGCAGGAGACTCGCTTGAGCCCCGGAGTTGGAGGTTGCTGTGAGCTGTAATGCCACGGCACTCTGCCTAGGGGGACAGCTTGAGGCTCTGTCTCAAAAAAAAAAAAAAAAAAATGGAAAAGAGACCAGCAATGAAAATCAAAGAAATATGGAAGATGCTCTTTGTCCTGTTTACCCAGGAAAATGTTCAGGATTTAAGAAAGAGAATCACAGTACTTGACTGCCAATTGAGAAAATCAGAAATGGCTCGAAAAACTTTTGAAGCATCCACTGAAAAGCTTCTTCATTTTGTAGAGGTAAGTTTTTCCATTATCTTACTTTAAGTCTACTTTGAAGAAATATAGGCAACTGGCATAGACATGAACGTCATGGTGTTTGGTGGCTACTGAACCATTCTGTGGTCTCAAAACAGCAACATCAACTTACAGTCAAATTTTGATTCGCCTAGGTGATAAAAAGATCAGCTAACATTATATAGATTGTTAAGAGAAATAATTGAGGCAGGATAACATAATCCCAAATATATACTATGTTTTAATGAATGTTTTCCTAAAAATCCTGATACTTTGTAAACATATGATAAATATTAAGCCTATAAAGAAGTATTTGTATACTTATTCTGAGCAGAATTCCATGATACTATAACTGATTTTCCTCCGTGTAACAGAAACATCTGTTTAATCAATGGAGGGAGGGGAATTATTAAGTAAGAAAAGACTTTTTTTTGTAACTATCAAACTTAAATATCTCCTTCACCATCTTGTTTGTTCCTAGGCTATTCAAGAAATATTTTCTGACATTTCTGCTCCCTTATCAAATTTAAGGTAAGAATATTTAAGTGCTTTCTGCAGAGAATGAACATTGATTAAATTCTCAGTCTGGCAACTGTGACTAAAATAATAAAAATCTCTTTTAAAGTCTTAAGATGCTACATAACTCCCATTGAATATTATTCTTTAATTTCTATGGAAGTAGGTGCAAGGATACATTATTTTTGATCCTAGCTCTATTAAAAAAAAAAAAATTCCTGGAGATATTTAGCCAACCATTTTAACCTTGTGCTATAAAATTGAGGAGAAGTCACCTTTCCTGTCTTTGTCAAGAATTTTGTAAGAATGATGTTAACTGACGTTCTTTAAACGGTCTGTGTATGAATAAAAATTACTAGCCACTGGGGCGGCACCTGGGGCTCAAAGGGCTAGGGCGCCGGTCCCATGTGCCAGAGGTGGTGAGTTCAAACCCGCAAAAAAAAAAAAAAAATTACTAGTCACCAGTTCACTGCGAAAGTCAGTCTCAACCCAAAAAGTTCATTGTTAGGGCAAATAGAATTTTACAAAACATGCATTCAATCAGTTTCTTTCATTTTTATTATTTAGTAGATAGAAACAAAAGATAGGTATTTGAACAGTAGTACACTTTGATTTTAATATTTGTAATATGTTTCAAATTTTTAAGTTTTTTACTAGAAGCGGTAAGCATGCTAATCAAATTTATTTATTTCAAACCACAATTTTATAGTCATTTCAAAATATCATGAAAGTTACATGCAAAGGGAAGATTCTTGTTCGTGCATTTCAAAGTGAGTTTTTCTCCCCTTGTAATAACTGCACTAGTTCTAGATGTCCACTGCTTCTCACAGTGTACGCTGACAGAAACATGGGAAACAGCTCTACCCTATACTGTGGAGACAGCAGTTTAATAGATGAAATAAAATGGACATATTTTAGGTGTCCACACAGCATTTTTTTGGATATAGAAGAACATGTATAGTTGCTAACCTTTATGCTCATTTAATGTAATGTTTTACTTTTTATAATGGAGTCACGTATCACTTCTTATTGTTATCCGTGCTGCTTATGATACAGGATAAGGGTGTGAGTTCCAGGATTATTATTTTGAATTATTTTGAATTATTATTTTGAATAATTAAAATACTTAATAATCACATTCCCCTTGTATGAGGTAAAGTGTATCTCCCACTGTCTCATTTTGACCTTGACTCCTAATTCAAAAATGGTCAAGGTTGAGAATGATCATGTAAAAACCAAACCTACCTTTGCCTTAAATTTCTTCATAGAAAAAGACCACTTTAACTAGCTACATTAAGCAAACTTTCACCACACCTTAAAAAGTTAAATGCTAGTAAAATCTGGACCAGTCTACTTAATGCTCTGTGTATCTTCTATAGATGTTAGCCTTGGTCATTCAACCCAGGGGAAAGGCTCTGAGTTTGAGATTGAGAACTGCTACTTTAATCTCTCTTCTGAATTAATGCATCACGCTTAATAAGATGAATTATATGTAAGTAGTGATTGTTTTATCAGTTCAAAATTGTCTCTTTTCAAATAAAGTTGTAGTGTAATTTTTTTTTTCTTGAGAAAATCTTTGCATTCTAACTATATCAGAACGCATTCATTTTAGGTGACATTTGCGTTTTTAAGTGACATAAATGTCCTAGGCTGTTTCAGATTTAGAGGCAACAAATGGAAGGGTTTAAGAGAAAAGTAATTTCAGGAGCAAATATATATTGAATTTATATTTAATATTACTAGAAGGAATAGAAAATGAAGTCTATTTAATAAATTCGTGTTTATACATTGCTTTGTGACATGAATTATTAACAAAAGTGAAAGAAGTACAAAAAACTTACAATCCATGTCAAGTGGAGTGTGAACAGATTTAACAAGCTGCTTAGATTCAAGCGCCAGTGTTGCTGGGATGTCACGTCCGTGCCTTCCCAGGGATGCGAGGGACGTTTTAGAGCGAAATTGTCTCTTTATTTGAAAAGAGACTATTTTAAACTGATAAAACAATCACTACTTATATATAATTCATCTTATTAAGCATGAAAACAGACAATTTTAAACTGATAAAACAATCACTACTTATATATAATTCATCTTATTAAGCATGAAAACAGACAATTTTAAACTGATAAAACAATCACTACTTATATATAATTCATCTTATTAAGCGTGATGCAAAATCCAGAGCAAAATATAAACACAAATTCAAAGCTTAATTTGAATTTCTACAAAAATAAAGTTACAGTATGTTAACAAAACACAAGCATTCACAAAATGAGCCAAATGAATAATTTAGAAACTACGGTCCGCGGGCCACATGCAGCCCACCTAGGACATTTATCCGGCCTGCCAGGTGTTTTTGCCGCCGCTGCCCGTACTGCTTAGCAGCCAACTCGTCCCGGGGCCTGCAGTCCAGCCCTCCAACAGTCTGAAGGACAGTGAACTGGCCCCCTGTTTAAAAAGTTTGAGGACCCCCTCATTTAGAAGGTCGGCTTTTCTTCTTTATTTGCTCCTTACATGCGAAGTCAATGCAACTTTTAAAATATGCCTGCCGATTGCATAATAAATCATTAAAAACAGAAATATTATTTTATATGAGTTACTTCCTATATAGCTATAACATAAACTTCCCAGAAATAGAAATATTTTTGTACAAATTTGTAAGTAATATGAATTCAGATTTGGCAAAGATAAATGTTGTTTTGCTTAAGTTCAACTTTGTTTTATTACCCTCACAGTGAAAGAAGAATGGTGTTCACTTCTAAAACTTCCTCCGCATCCCTGGGAAGGCACGGACGTGACATCCCAGCAACACTGGCGCTTGAATCTAAGCAGCTTGTTAAGTCTGTTCACGCCCTGCTTGACATGGATTGTAAGTTTTTTGTACTTCTTTCACTTTTTGTTAATAATTCACGTAACAAAGCAAAAGAAGAAAAATTTAAGTCTAACAACTTAATTTTGCTAAATGTATTGGTTTGCCTACAGTAACATTGATAGCTCATCGACAGAAATCTTAATGCACCAATTCCGGGGGAGAATATTTGCTTTATTTACAGTGATCAAAATGGCTTCCATCTAAAGATAGCAGATTAAGACATGTCTTTATCTCTACTTTCATAAAATTTCTTTAAAAAGGAAGAATAAGTATATGCTGGAAACTTAGAAGAGTGGAATTGACATTGGGGGATTTTTTAAAAATATACCACAGATGGAATAAGGTACAACTCAACTGAGTAAAAGCCCCTAAAACACAGTAAATACAAAAAACAACACTGCTGAAACAGCGAGCTAAATAGAACCATGGTTGGGGGGGACGGAGGGGAGGGGGGTGGGGGGACTAGGGACTAGGATCAGAGTCCAGGGAGGCTGGGAATAGACCCTGGGGCATTTAGCAGGTCAATTAATTAAAGGGCTGTGGAATAACCAAACCTGCTCCCTTCTATTCAGAGCTGCTGGCTCAGACATTTAGTGAGGGCCTCTCTAAAGAAACTTCATGATCTGTCACCAGATACCTGTAGAGTCAGCACTGGCTAGAAAAAGAAGCAAGGCCGTGCTCTCAGGAACTTCCAACATCCCTACAGAGAGAGCGATCTCTGGGGAAAACTTCAATGCTCAGACATCTCCGTCTTTCCCTTCTCTTCTCTCCCAGGCACTCTTGTCTCTCATGAATTTCAACTACCATTTTGTGACTCTTCTAACATACTAATTATTTTTCTGCAATAAAAACTGTGGATAATTCACCTAATTATAACCATTATTTATGAACGTCAAAACATACTCTATACAAGGAAAAATAAGAGGAAGGTGATTTGTAATGAAATATATATTCAAAAGGTGAAAGCTTGGGTACAACAAGCATTGGGAGAAAAAGTCATCAGGTGCTTGGACCTGCACGTGGAATCACTACAGATGTGTCAGCGTGAGTGTAGATTGGTACACGTACATTCATTGTGTTACTAATTAAACAGCACGAGCACGTTGGCATCAGTAACATCATTATCCAAAATAGCGAACAACTCTTGGTTAAGTTCTGAGTAAAAGAAAGTACACTCTTCATCAATTTGCATAGCAGTCAGAAGCCTGGAAAATTTAATTGGGTTTATCTGAAAATGGAGTTAGGTTCCAGACTGAAATAATTAAAAACAAGGGGTTTTTGTTTGTTTGTTTGTTTGTTTTTTTGTTTTGTTTTTACTCATACGAGTGTCTAGTAGGACATTTGAAAATCCTACAGGATATCGGACAATTCTTTGTTGTATAGGACTGTCCAAAACATTCCATAAAGATAGAGTGTTTAATATTCTTGACACCCTGTTACTACCAAAAATATCCCTAAACATCAGGATAACAGATCCTGTGTCTCAATTTCAAAAAACGCTCCTTGTGTCTGATACCACCCTGAGGACCTCTGATGGTGATCCTTGTTTATAAATACGAATGAACAACCAAAAATCACCTAACAATGGTCCAGGGGTGAGAAGAACAGACTAATAGGGAGATGCCAGACAAAAAATTTTTTAAAGACTCTAACAAAGGTAATATAATATTCTGAACATAACTAAATTGTTCTTTCAATAAACTGGGAATATTATCCTTCAAAAGAGTAATTAAAACATTGCATCAATAATTTGAGAAGTAGCTTCCACGAAAGAAAAATACTTATTGAAGAGAACTTTTAAAAAGTCATTTTAAAGTCTATTAAGTGAAAATAATACACCACAATGTTGTTGTAAAGATTAAATAATAAAATTTTTAACAAGCCATCTACCCCTACCACATCTCCTAGTACAAAAGACATACTCAGAAGTATGTTTTGGATTGTGGTTGAACTATATACACAGCACTAACTTTTAAATTAGCTGTTCTATTTGTCATTGTTGTATAACAAGTCAATCCAAAACTTGATGGTTTGAAACAACAATTTACTTATTGTCCATCACGGTCCTGTTGGCTAACTGGTCTCGGCTAGGCAGTTCTTGTTAAGGGACTGTCACGTGGTTGTAGTCAGGTATCTGCTGGGGTTGCCATCATTTGGTTCTTGGGCTGGACATTCGAGATGGGAGCTGAGCTTGGGCTATCAGCTGGAACACCTACCAGTATCCGGTCTGTCCTATATGGCAGCCGGAAGGTAAACATCTTACGTTCCAGTGAGAAAGACAAAAACGTGTCGCCTTTTATGGCCCCGCCTCAGAAGTCACACAGCCTTGCTTCCACCATATTCTTTCCATTTGTCAATCCTGATTCAAGGGAAAGAAACTCAGGCAACACCCATGGATAGGAAAGTGGCAAGGTCACTGCACTGCATTGACCACCTCCTTAAGTTGACCTAATTTTTATTGATGGACACGTACCAGTACAATAGGTCAAATTCCTTATGTTGGCAACCTCTGTATGTTGACCAGTTTGTTAGAGTCCCTTGGGGGGTTAACATGCAAAGTTTCTGCTGTGTATGCTAAAAGTAAGTTAATTTAGTTGGGATGGCTCAATATCATCATTACACATATCCATGAACATATGGCGTGTAGGTAGAGAGTAGCTAGGTTTTGTTTATTTTTCTATCTCTTCCCTGAAAATCATCATATCTGCCAGTTGTCTTTTGTGCTGGCCTCTAACATTCCACTATCCCTCTAGTTTGCCACTTTTAAGGACCTAATATCTAAAGAAAAAAGATAGATAGATAGCTCTATAGCTGAATGGATATAAAATTCTATATTAGTTAAGTATCAAATAGTAAGTTTTGAGCATAGTTCTGGGTAGTAAATGGCTTAGCTTGGTATAGGGCAACATTCAATGATCCTTTTGGGTAACTTCTGACTTTACAGCTATGCTATGGAGGATTGAAATCCATGCCTTTAATAGTATCTATTTAACTTCTATAATAAGTATATATTTGAAATTTTTTATAACCTAATACATTTGTGAAAATCAAATTATTCATCAAAAACCCCTAGTGTTTATTATATGAAGAAATTCTGTGGGATGAAAATAATCACTCCTGATGTTACATGTAAGCGCAGGTGGAAACAGTGAGAGAAACACCTGCGTAGACATAGCCCAGTAGACATTGCCATCATTAATTTTAATTACCTTGCTAACATTGACCTTTATATCTGTCAAACATGATTATTCAAAGAAAATATTTGAAATTCAGCAGAACTATTTTGGAAGAAAAGTGAAAAATTCCAGCTGCACTTTTCGTCCCTGGTACAATGATACACACTTTGCTCTTTCAAACGCGTTTCTGTGTTGTCCCTTTATCAGGCAACGTGATTGCTAATGCTGGCGTCCTTTGCCAGCACATTTTCTAATTTTCTATGACATGTCTTTTTAAGTTTGATCTCTCAGATAAGCTCAGCTCATTTTTTCTGTCTCTCGAAGCAGCAGCTTTTTCTACATAGGTAATGGGAAACAGATAATTACCACCACGAGATAGATAAATTCAGCCACAATCCCTCCCTCATTGTCTTTGCCTTGGCTATCTGATTATTTCAAGTTTCTGTTTGAAATCTTCTGCTGGGCAAGTGCCTCCACTTTGTTTTAAATGTAAGCATACTCTAGGATGTTATACTGTGGGATTTCCTCAGAAATCTCCAGGATGAGATTTCTTGGATCTTCACAACTTAAGGCCAGGCTCTGAGGAATAGCTAGAAGATAATTCTGAACCTTCTCAGGATTGTAAACTTGTTGAAATCTGGTAAAAACTCTCTTCCCAGAAATGTGAGATTGCACAGATTTTGCACCCATTTTCCAAGTGTTTATGAACGCCACTAGGACACCCCACCCCACCCCACCCCCATGGAGTCACAGGGAGCACAAGTATTCTCTCCAGCACGCAGACGTGGCCAGCCTGCCCCTAGAACACCTCTAGCAGTAGGGAAGTGTGTGAGTCCGAGCGGCAGCTGGAGTCAGCCGCAGTTGGAATCCAGGCAATCAGAGCTCCACAGCATCTCTGCTGGTCCCATCTTGAGGCATTCCAGGGAGCACCCCAAGTGTTCATCCAGATTCATTGGACAAACTTAACCTCTGGGTCTGTTTCTCCTATAAAAAGTGGAGCTCATAATATCAAAGTGGCAGGATTGGAGAATTAAATGAAATATATGTATAGGTTCCTAACAGAGCCCTGCTAGTGTAAGATGCTCCATGTATGAGTGTTACTGCTGCTGCCACTGCTGTGGCTACTGCTGGTGCCACATTACCGTTATCTAAAGTAATTAACTTAAATTTACTTTCTCTCTATGGTAGGTATTAAATTACTATTGTCTAAAGCTTCTTTCAACATTAGGAGAGCTTTTCATAATGTGTAACATTCAATGTGATTGAGTTCAAGTTAGAATATAACCATCACAGGAAACTGCGACTAAAAAAAGGTCTGAATCAGCATCTTATCTTTCAGTTGTTTATTGCTAAGTGTGAGGAAACTTTGGTCTGTTCTGTTTATTACTTCCAGGAAGACAGTCTGAAAACAGAATAGGCAGTTTTAATCAGCATCGGAACCCCCAGAGATGCTTCTATCGATCTTCATTCTATACGTGATCGATGACATTGCAATGCTGTTGTGTAATCTTTATTTGATATAATTGCTTGTTCAGAACTGTAATCTGTATTTGGCTGACATAGATTGACAAAATAATTATGTAACAAAAGCAGAAAGAAACAGTTCTATCTGAAAAAAAAGAAGTGCGTATGAAAAAATAAATAAATCCTCCCAGATGTCCCCTAGGAGGTCTTTAATAAAAAGAAAACTTATTGACTTTCTGATAAGTTGGCAACATAATCACAGGCATCTAACACCCTTCATCCCATTTCCCATGGCAATGATAAATAGAATATAAAAATAGGGTAAAAATGTTCAAAAGCATTAGCTGTTACAGGAGA